AATTACAAAAATTGTAGGTTTTTTTTAAGAAGGCGAAGAATATTTGGAAGAAGTAAAGAAATGAATTATTTCTATTTATTTATTTAAGCTACTTACAACATAAGATGCGAGTACTTTTAATCTGTGTCTGGGAAGAAATAGAAAAAAATATTCAATGGTGTCATCGTCGTCCGGATAAAGTGGACATAAACTGTTGTAAACAAGACCAAGGCAAAAGAGGTGTTTTCCACTAGTAATGTTACCAGTATTCGTACTAATTAGTAGTCCACAGTCGTTGCGTTAGCTCCATGCTCCAGTGGGAGATGATGATAAAAGAGAGAGAGAGAGAGAGTCCCTGCCACATACAAGTACAAGATAATCTGCAGTTTTTTCACAGATTTTAGGTAAGCCCAATTTGATGTGCCTGCAGCCATTGTGATTTCTCATTTATTTTTATATAAATATTAAATCCAACCAATCGTCAGTAGGTCGTCTGACAACTTAGACCACCCAAGTAATGGTTTCGATTCAGAAGATACCGCAATTAACCGGTTCCCGTAAGTTCGTCCTTCGTTTTCTGTTATGCTAGTAGCATGGCTACGAACCCATTGAGGAATTAAATCGTAGGGTCACCAACACAGTTTAACCTACATTTACATTTTTATTTAAATATATGTGTATATATTTATATTCAGACACACCCAAAAATCAAGAAATTAGTAATAACAATTTTTGATAATTGATAATTGAGATTTGACAATCTGCATAACATGCCTTGATGGTCATAATCAGAGAGAATATAAAATTGTCTTGGCCATTGTTCCATGTTATGACTGCCTGCATAATATAACCCTTAGTTGCATGTCAATTTCAAAGTCAAAGTCAACGTTCAAATATTCCAACTTTTTGCTATTATTTTTTATATTTTTTCTATATATTTGCATACAGTTAATAAATAATTTTTAATAAAAACGGATTTATAACGTTGTAATGATATAATAAAAATACACCATCAAAATATCCTATACACAAACCATTTTATTGACAGCGGTGAATGCAATGTGTAAGAACTGTCAAATTTCTTTTTTCTATTGACAGCGGTGAATGCAATATTTAACAGCTGTCAGATATGTTTGGCGCTTATCGCATCGCTAAAACAGTTTTGTTATTGTGCTATTTGTAAATGTTAATTTTTTTTGTTATACATAAATAATTGAACGTTTTTATAATAATAAAATGTTAAATTTAAATTGTGTTATATGTGCGGAGTTATTTGCGCCATCGGACGATGTGCATGTAACCAATTGTGGGCACATGTTTCATTATACCTGCTTAATTCAATGGATGGAACGGTAAATTATTTAAATTTATTTGACAAATAAAGACTTAATCTAAATTAATTTGTTAAAAAGGTCCAAAACTTGTCCACAATGCCGCAATAAATGTACAACAAGGAATATATTTCGCATTTACTTTAATTTGGCGAATTTAAATGAGAGCAGAGTGGACATCGGCTCACTGCAGGAACAGATAGATAATTTAAAATTACAAGCCCAAGTGAAAAACAGAGAACTGAAGGTTGCTGAGGAGGAAGTTAAGGTGCTCAAGGACACCCGAAAAAAATGCCTGTAAGAGAACAAAATATATATAATCTATTATAATTCAAACTAAATCTAAACATTTTAGCAAAACTATTAAAAATTTGGAGCAACAAATTAAGTCAAATGATTTCCTCATACAATCTTACGTAGAACAGGTTGGTGTTTTAAATATATTTTATGCTTGAACTTAGTTAATTAGAATTTTGAATTCTAGATGAAACTAGTAAAAACAGATCAAAAAGTTGTTGATGGATTACGAAATGAAGTAAATTCATTAAAGAAACAAATTGAGACCATGGATGGAGTAGCAGCCTTGATAACGGCTTGTGGCTCAGAAGCAGATAAGATTGTTAAACAAGAAAATGACCCTAAAAAGCTGGCACTTTGGATAACAGTTTTAAAAAGGTTCGGAAAATTATAATTTAACTTAAAACTCTATATTAAAACTTGCATTCTAGGGAATTAAGAACGTGTGACCAAAAAAAGACTGATATGCGGAATATGCTTAAACTGGTGCAAACAGAAGCTCGCAGTGAAATGAAATTGAAAAAGTAAAGTCTTTTTTAAACTTTTTAAAATTTTTAAATATTTTTTTAAAAACTACATATTTTATTATTTATTTAGAGAACATGAAGAACGAATTTCACAACTTGAAAGCGAAAATTACCAACTGGTTGAAAAGGTATAAAAAAGAGCGTTGAAAATATATTATCTTAATGGGCAGCTTAAAACCAAATTTCTTTTGCAGATAAAGTTATTGGAAGTGTCTAATGAAACCTCCAATCATAAGACAATGGCGGATCTTGATGAGCTAAATAAAGCTTTTAAGTCTTCGTTGCTAAGAGAGGAAAGACGCACAACCATATCGCCTAGCATTGTAACTAAACACTTAAATGAATTAAGAATAAATAATAATAAAACTTTTTGCAGAAGGAGAGTGTTAAAAATATTGAAGAATCAAATTCACCTTATTTAAATATAAAGAAAAGTATTGTGGGCTTGTCTCATTTTGGACAACGTTTAAATGAAGTGTCTAGTACTAACAAATTAACAACTTTAAAAATATCTCCAAAGAAACGAGGACTTCCGTTTGCAACGACAAGTGATCTCAGTGATAGAGTTAGTGAAAAACAACTTCATTTTATATTTTATATATATCTTAATGTTATTTTGTTTCAATTTTAGTATTCAACCATATTTAAAAAACCACGCATAGGCCAAATTACAATCGGAAAACCAATTGTAATCAGCGATAATGCCGATTTAGAAACATTTGAAGGCAATTCTAATCCCTCAAAAGTCGAAAAACTGCCAAATCAACATGTAAACATGCGTCTCAAGACTGGAGCATTACGCAATATTAAGTTATCTAAATGATTTTTATTTATTTATTAATTACATTGTAAAGTTATATTAAGTTTGCAATTGTATTTATTTCCTTAATTTTTATTTATTTTCTTAATTGTATTTTATATCTATGTGTTTTATAGTGCTTTCTAAAAATAATTTTGCAAAGAATTTAATTCCTTAAGTTTCACTTTGCCGAAACCTCTCATATCATGAAGTCTTACTATAATTTTTACTCAATTTGGTTTTTTTCTTTTTTTTTTGTTTGAAATTTTATCGAACTGTAAACAAGTCTCTTGTATATTTGTATAACTTGTACAGTAATAGTAAAATGAAAAATTTCCTTAACTAATATGATAATGCGACTACATTAATGCACCACATTCTTTATTTATTGAAACGATTGTGCCTCTAAGCAAGTACTTTTACATTCAAATAAATTAGTTTGCAAAAAAAAAGATATTTACTTTTTTAAACACAATAAATATATAATTAAATGAACTTGCAAAATTTTGATTTAAATGTATTAATTTTCTCTTCACCTAGAAATATATCAAAAGAAAAACTGTATTACCGGTTGCTGGTTACTGAATCTGATGAACTATCTACATAAATTTTTTTTTTTTTTTGTTAAGTCATGCGTTAATCTGCCCTTGTTATTGTTTAATAGAGTTCTTCTTTATTATGCATATTTGGTAACTCTTTGGTAGGAGAGGTAAACTTGTTTTGTGAAGTTTGAATGTAAGGTACATAAAATACTGCGACCATGAGATCTATTTATATACTTGCTTTCAAATCGATGTTGACTTGCTGGCTCCAACAGCTACAACTATGAGATCATCCGCTACACAAGTATGTAAGGAAACTCATACATGGGTCATACGAACCATAAAACTCTGCGCTATGTAATGGTATAATATCCAAGTATGTTTAAACTTAGCTCTTCACTATTTTTATACAGAGCTCAAAATGCATATCACCTTAATAAAAGGAATCACCAGTTATTATTAAACATTTTCCAAATAAACTAATAAAACATCCCAATACAAAAGTCCGAGTGCAATATACTAAAAAGAGGTGGAAAATGACACTGAAATATAAAAAAATTCTATAAACCACCGTTAAGACATTTATCAAAAATCTGACAAAGCTATAATAACGATTATGGTTTAAAGTTTCTACGTACCACTCTCATCTTATAATCCTATAAAGGCAATAAAGTTACGAATAGTCCTCCACTTGTAATTTTTATGGATTAAATATATCTGTTCGAGCAACAAAAACGATCCCATCTAGACCCGCAGCCAGAAATTTACTTCGGTTAGGACTATCGGAAAGTTACAGTAATTTACAAAAAAATTTTATCTTAAACAGTCATGATGCATTTATAATGGATATACAAATGTATAAATATAGTTCTTTGATTCATTTTGGGTGAGAATTCACTTCTCAAGCTTACTTCCTGTGTACGTACCTGATCCTAACCGAATTGAGGTCAGTATATAGCCATGTATTAGACGCGTTATTGTAGCGTTTAAATACATTTTGAAAATGCAAATCTACTATTGTTGACGTCACATATTAGTTGTTATGTCCCAACTGACAGACTAATTTAAGACCTCTTGATTTATTGCTTCATCTCATTAGACAACGTTTCTTCCCCTTCACTCAGGTTAGTTTCAATTAAAATCTACTCAAGCCCTCATCCTTACTGTATACTACATTGGTTATAGCTTAACATAATATTGTTATCTCTAATCTCTAAAATGTCTATTAATAATCTACTCCTTGCGGGTCATAAGCGAGCAGAGTCGCTCTGATGTTACTCTCTCCATAAAAATTAAATATGTATTTATAAATAAAAGCAGAGCTCTGAACTCGTTGACCCTTTCAATAAGAAATCCATATTTGAAAGTGTAAAATGATATATATTTTAATAAATTAGTATAAAAAGAGAAAAAAAATATACTTAATTCGTCTTACTTTACTTAAGCTTAAATGTTTGATGTGAAACTATATGTTCAATACAAAAAAACAAAACATTTAAAAAAAATTAGTATTAAAAGTGAATTTTGATTAATACTTTTAAGCACGATCACTTTGCTATATATTGTTAAGACCACTTGAATAGTTTTGCATTTTATTGCCAATTGCATTAGGAATTTACGATTTTCTTTTCGGCAGTGCCAGTCCATTCCTCTTTTAAAACAACTTTACAGCCTAAGTCGCGTAAGGCAGCCTTAATATCATGCTCCACAGCTGGATGTTCGATCATGGCAGCATTCAGCAAGTCTTCGATCCCATGTGACAGCCAAGTTTCGCATTGGTCACGAGATCGTGACACCATATTACGTATTGCCCAAGCAGCATTACGCTTTGAATGACATCATGCAATATCTGCAATGCGTATATACTCACTTTCATTTGCTATCTATATACTTACTTGTATCATTTTATTTTTCGGATGCAAACGTATGACTTCAACTATAGGTTCCGTCACGCCAATTTCAAAAAATGTCACACTATTGTCCTTGGCACGTAGCGTTAAAGTTGAAATGCAGAGCAAAGCAACGGAGACAACGTTCTCATTCGACTAAAAGAATTAAAAGAAAAATGTTATCTATTAAGAATTAAAAAAAAATTGAATTGGATTAAGAATAAAATAATAATTAGAAGGGTTCGAAGTTTGAACAGGAATAAAGAAGCAACAACAAAGATTTGATTAATTTAATGATGATACAACGCTGTTCCGACTATTGCTAAGTATGGTTGTATGTTGTATGATGAGATAAATTTTAAATTAAATTAAATTGATTAAAAATTAATCAAATCGTTGTTATTGCTTCTTCATTACTCTTCGAACCCTTTTAGTTTTTTTTTTCATCATAAGACGCGTCACATTCAACAAAAAAAGTATTATATAAAATAATAATATAGATAACTGTGTTAAAGGTTATGGTAGCCTGAGTAACTTATAGTAGTTCATTCGCGCGCGAAAAAAGTAATTATTTATGTAATATTAAATAGTTTTTAATATTATGACAAAAATATAGTTAATAGATCCCAACTTCTTGAGATCCCTTTCCCAACCTAACCGAATCATATAAGTACGAATAGTAGAGTTTTAATAACTTTCTTTCTCTACTTTAAGGCTGCAGCCTTAAACACAAAATTCTGATTGAGATACCCCGTAAAGACATCAGTCTTTTAATTGGTTTACTTACAGGTCACTGTAAACTAGGGAACCATGCTAGAAGATTAGCTCTCCCCGTCAATCAAATCTGTCGCAGCTGTAGGGAAAACGATGAGAGTGCCTCTCATCTACTATGTTTTTGCCCAGCTCATGCACGGCGGCAACTCAATACTTTAGAAGCCCCCTTCCTGAGGATCTTGACCAATTACAGTACCTAATACCAAATAGCGTTTTAGGTTTCGCCAAAGGTTCTAGGTGGTTTTAAACCCTGAGTTTTTCCTATATATACGATATCACAATATATACGATATATATACGACAACAATCCACTAGGGGTCGAAGGTATAACCTAACCTAAACTAAGGTTGCAGCAAGATTATCAAAAGACAGACTCAATCTGTCTAACTCATAGTATTTCTTTCGCAAACTCGATATCTCTATCCCGATATTGTAAATACTAATATTTGTATGAAACATGTAAGTGATATAACTCTACTTTTTTATTTAAATATAGACAACTTGCATACAGATGTCTGCATATCGTTGTGTCTTTCCATCTTGTATTAAATTGCTCAATACATAAGATTTCAACAACTGTTTGAATAAAGCTAATACTTTAATGTATTTATACTGTAGTAAATATTTAAATTAAGTATTAATACTTTATTACTTTAAGATGCATCCACACCACACCACACCTTTAGTGTGGATGCATATTTAAGTGATTAATATTAATAACATAAATAATTTATACAAAGATTATCAAAAGCGATATCAGATATCAATTTCAGTTCGGATTATTTGTAAATATATCAACTTACATTGTGAATAACCAACAGTTCTTTTATTATAGGCGCAGCTCCTTGTTGCACTATTTGTAATTTAACGCTATCATGTCCAGCGAGAGCACGTATTAGTTTTAAAGCCTCACGGTTTATACGTACTGATTTCGGATTAGCAGTCTTTAGAAAATATCACAAAAATATAACCAATATACAAGAATAAAATTTTTATATTATACCATAATTTCAAATATTATTTTAAGGCCTCCAACTTCTTCAACAGCAGCACAAAACTCATGTCGCACAGATAATGTACCGATTGTCAAAAGTAGATCAGCTACCACATTTGTGTCTTGTATATCTAGAAATAATAGTTAAATCCATTGTTTTTATAAATCAATGAAATTATACAAATTAAGTTATAATAACTGACCTTTCAGCAACTTCGTTAAATCGACAAGTACTTCGTTAGCTATATTTTTTGCATGTTCATGTGCACAACCGTACTCAATACGTATATCATCATCCAGCACCAAGTAACGAAAGACGGCAATAACATTGGATAATACTTGCACATTATTTTTGGATACGTGGGATTTCAAGTGTTTTAAAAGACCTGCATTCATAATGTTTTGCCGATTCATTTCATGCATAATACATGCTTTCTGCAACCATTGCAATGTAAGACAGCAAATCTCTACATTTTCCACTTTAAGTAAAGGTATTATAAGTGCTAAAGACTCTGCATCAAAGAGGTCGGGTTGCTTGTTAATAAGGCTGTTCATAGCTTTTAGACATTTTTCTAAAACCTCAATGTTTGGATTTGAATTATTTTCTGACAAAACTTGTCCCTCGAGTAGCGTAATTAGAACATCGTGAGCACCATTTTTCCCAGCTAAGACACGATGTGGTATAGACTACAAATATTTAAAATATTAATTTAAATTAATAATAATATTAAAATATTATTGTACTTTTTGGCACTCTTCTTCTAAAATAACTAAACACTCTAAAAGCGTTTCTGTTTCTGATGAATTTGCACCAATATGCGCCTTTATTTTGTCTATTGTTTCATTTAGTAATGGTACTCCACTAT